TGTTTTCTTCAGAAATACTTCTCTGGATGCTACAGCCCAGCTCTTGCAATCACAAAGTTGTTTGCTGACTCCTATTTTGACGTGATTGGTCCTGAGAAGCCTAGCAAGAAGCCAGGACAAAAACCTCTAGTGGGCATGGTGGCTTCCCTTTGTTTTCTTAATTCATCCCCTTGATTCAAGGGGTCATCAAGTTTAAAAGCTTCCAGCTTTGCATTGTTTCAATTTTGTTAACTGCTATTTAGCATCTAAAATAATGCTTCCACCATGTAAGTTCTGCATTTATCAGGTTTCTAAATTAAATCCTCACCACTCTTTCTGAGCATAAAGGCAGGAGGAGTGTGTGTGTGCATGTAGGTACAGCGGAGAGAAGGGAATATGGGTATGTGCCTGTCTTTTGACATTTGAATATGGAAAGAAAGCAACACTTTGTCATTTTTACCTTACATCATGTAGTACAAGCATGATTTCTGTAGATGCATTCATCTTGGTTACTCTTGTCATAGCAGATGGTTTTAGGTTTGGTTGGTTTTGGCGTTTTGGGTTTTTTTTTTAATAATACTGTTGAGTTAAAGATCCCAGTCCAATTTGACCAGCTCAATGAATTCCAAAAACTTTATAAGGAGCAGCATCTGTATTTCATAATAGTTGCTACTGTCAGCAGCCAGTTTACCCAGCACATGACTGGGGTGACCTTGATGGTGGCCTCAGCAAGTACCTTTTCCTACTGAGACAAATGGTACAGTTTTGTCAAGCAATCAGAACATTTTGCTGGAGATGAATTATAATGATGAGTCTTGGAAAGCAGCATCTAGGAAATATTTGTATATTACAGCATTAGGAGTTGACTTTTCATCCTGCAGTTATGTAGTTGCTGTATAGTGTGTGTTTGGTAAGTTACACCCAGAGGACATAGTACAGATGTGTCACATTGGACCTAAAGGCTCACACTGTGCTGTCTTCTTAGGTAGTCCATGTGGCTCTGTTTCAGCATGGCTGCCAGTGGCTGAGGTACTGTTCAGCTTGACTGATTGATTCATTGATGTATTGAGGCAGATCTTAGAAAAAAAAGCAGAATTTCCCAGTTTCTGAGGCCAAAGCAATGTTTCAGGTACTGTGTAAGGCATGGATTTGTTTTGGTTAAGTATTGCAATTCTATTTATTCTCAAAGAAACAAATACATTCTTTTTCGCTGAATTAATAATTTTTCTTCATAATTTTTCAAGGCAGAGTAAAAGATGAGCCCTGTCTTACCTGAAACACAGGTTAAGCTGTACTTAGCTGTTTTCTGTGTGTTTTGGTGAGATCCAGAAGAAGCAGTTGGGTTTCCAAAGATTAAGGCCTGCGGTCCGAGCCATAAAGGTAGATTGTGGATGATGACTGGATAGCTGGAAAATAAATCCAAGTTGCTTTTTTTCACAGCACAGAAGTTGGAAGGGGCCTCTGGTGATCATTCAGTTCCACCCATCCCTACTTAAGTAGGATCACCAAGAACAATCAACACGGGACCACGTTCAGAAGTTTGAGTATCTGCATTGATGGAGACTCCACAACCTCTCTACGCAACCTGTGCCAGTGCTCAGTCAATCAGACTCCACAACCTCTCTAGGCAACCTGTGCTAGTGCTCAGTCAATCAGAGTTTCCTGATGTTCAGAGGGAACATCCTGTGTTTCAGTGTGTGCCCACTGCCCTGGTCCTGTCACTGGGCACCACTGAAAACAGCCTGGCTCCAGCTTCTTTGTGCCTTCCTGCTGGATATTTATGTACACTGATGAGATTCCCCTGGAGCCTTCCCCTCCCTATTGTCCTTCCAGGAGGTATCAGGGTGGCTGGGGTCCCCTGTGAGGATCATGGCCTGTGAGCATGAGACTCATAGTCTCTGAGTTTAGGCATAGGTACTGTTAATGTACTCCACACTCTATGGGAAAGGTGTATGTCCACCTGGTGTTTTTGTCAATTGTAGCCCTTCTAGAATTGTGCATGATAAGAATAAGGACTTTAAGGACAACAACTTCCATTCCTTTATTTCTTCTTGCAGCTCCTTTGACTTCTTACACGCTGGTTTTGGTGGTTTCCAATTCCCCTGAGCTGTACTTTTCCTGTGCAGGAGGCATGAGGAGGGCCAAAACTCCATCACCACCTTTTCATTTCGTATTGGACTTCAAAATCTTTGCACATCAAACCAGTTTTCAACTCGTGAGTACTTCAGTTATCAGTAATTATATTTGGGTTTTGTTTGCTAGGAAGACATTTTGAGGTACCATTACTTCTGGGAGGCTACAAGTCCAAACCAGGTGCTTTAGAAGTAACACTTGACTGCAGAGTCACCCCATGCATCTCTTTGGGCCTGGTCAAACTTCTGTGGCTGCAGTTGTATTCCAGCATCAGCGACTAAATGTGATGCTTCAGGTTAGTTTATCTATGCAGTACTGCAAATTTGTGTAGAACAATACAAGCATCAGCAATGAACTAGGTCAGACAAATACTTGTCTCCTCTGTGAAGAAAAGCCTTGAAAACACTAATTCTTAAAATGTCTTAAGTCAGTTTTATGATCTCTCAGGTCTTTCTGCTTGTTATAAAAATCTATAATGTTTTTCTTTGTTCTATTGTGGTTCTGCAAAGACTGACCTAGCCTGAACTGTAACCTTTACACACATCAAAAGATATTTACTAACCTATACTGATAAGAACAGGACTGTATTTTCCTAAAGAAACAGTATCCCTCTAGTCCAGTACACAAACAAAATGTGTACATGATTTATGAATGAGAGCATAATTTGTCAATAGTGTCCAGTTAGTTACTGCTTTCAATGTAAAGGTAGAGCAACTGCACAGTGACACTGAGGGTGTACAGGAATTGGCCTGAACCAAGGACTTTTTCCAGTCAAAGACAGGAATTTACATATTCAGCAGCTTATTCACATCTTATAATGCAAACTGCAGGTGGCACAGACTGACAGTAACACAAAAAAATGAAGCAAGAATTATTTTTGGGGGTTGAATTGCCTGCACCTTTGACTGCTTTAATTCTAACTATCTTCACTGTAACAGAAGTTTGGACTTAAAGTTCTTTTATGTTTAAGGAAAGCATAAATAATCCCCTAGCTGATACAGATGGAATCTATGCCCTGAGAGATGCCAGGAAAGAGATCAATTTCAGCCAAACTCCAAAAGGTTTAACATTACAGAATGATAGGTAAAAAGGAGTCTTTTCTTCTCCCTTTGCATAAAATAAAATTCAACTAAGGAATTCTAACTCTACCCCAGCATTGTAGGGGAAAATGACCCATTTTTAAAAGAGATTGCAAAGGAAATATTTACTTGAACATTCTTTGGAACCGTAAAAAAATAATTAAAAGAATGACTTCCTATGTCTTCTTCCCCATCTACCTCCTGTAAGAGAAAACTCTATAATTTGCAACAATAATAGTCAAATTTTAATTTCAAGCAAATTAAGAGCTTTTAAACAACATAAAACATAAATATTGAAGCCTCTAATTTACAAATTTATTTTAGCAACTTTTGGTTTAAAATCAGAGTGGAAATGTCTTTGAAAAAGACAACTCTATGAGAGATCCACATTAAAATGTGTTAAGAAATATTAGTTTTATTTAACCAATTTTCACAGCTGAATATTTATTCTATAAAAACTTTACAGATTGTACAGTTTATATATAGTTCAAACTACTAGAACAAAGAAGTAGGTCCCACAGATGCAAAAATACTGTACCAATCCAAGGTAAAGGCAGATTTACACACTGTACAGCTCTCCACTGGGAAGGGGAGGTGGGTCAGTTCCAAGTAAAAACTTCAAAACTGTACAAAAATAAGGTTTGATTTCTTTTTTCATTCTTCATAATACATTCAATAAGATTGCAAGCACAGATACCCAAGTAATAATAGATATCTGCAGTCAGGAATCAATAACCACTCCTGAAAGGAATGCAAAATAGGTCTATTTACACAGGGCACTCTTTTACACCATACTGCATATAGTGTATATTTAAAATAATAAAAAAAAGCATAGACAAAGAACATTAAACATCTAATATAAGGTAGTTTTTTTAAAGAGGTTTTTTTTTACTTAATAGTGTGCCAAAAGAATTTTAACTTATTAAATAATATATTCTAAGTGAACCTAAAATTTACGAACATAAAATGCATTTTTGGTGTAATACATCAATTAAACCAGCAAATAGGAAAAAAAGAACCAGAAACAAAACCCAAACTGTATATAAAGTAGTATTCTCACCCAGCAACAGAAGCACTTATGTAGTTATTAAAAAAACCCAAAAACAAAACAGAAGAAAAAAAAAAACCAAACCCAGAGAGGCTTTTTAAAAACCCACTAAAACTAACTTATAACTTAGGATATTCATACATAAGATATTCAGTGATTCACTAATACTGCAAAACAAGCTTTTTTGTGTTTTTTTTTCCCTTCCCCCTTCCATTTCCCTCCCACTTTCCCTCATTCCCCTTCCCTAAGAAACAGTGGTTTCTTCATGCTTTCTGGGTAAGAATCAAACATATTCCTGCCCACTTCCTCCCACCCTTCTATACCTCCCCCCAAAAAAGGACAGAGTGTTTTCTTAGCATTAATCCTGAGCACACTCTCTTCTGGGGGATATGTGTGATTTAAGCTTAATAGGGTTTAATTCCCCAAAATTTTAGAATGTTCCATTACTTGAGGTATTTCAACCTTCTTCTGAGACAATGCCTTGTATCTTAGCTGACTCATTGGGCAGAGAAAGTAAGGGCTGGCTAATACCCGTTTCAACTCTGTATTCTCATGAAAATGAAAAGCATTATTCCAGACTTCCCTGCCACACAGAAAATAATGCAACACCATTTACGTTTTAATCCATTCTCTATTTGATACAGTACTAGCCAAAGATAACAAAAACTAGAGCCTTTAAAGAGATGTTTGGTAGTGCACTCTATCATGTTTTAGCTTGTGTGTGTGTGTGTCTACATACACACTCGCACACATATTACATTTATATATATATAAAAGACATATATATGCACACGTATACACGTGTGTGTGTATATATATCTGCATGTAACAATCAGGGAGAAAGGAGTTTTGTTCAAATTTAAGTGATACAGTACTTTTAAACCCCTTGACAATAAAAGGGGAGGGGGAGGTGTCCACTCCTGTTCCCAAGTTGAGCAAGGGGTTAGTTTATATAGGTTTTTTAAATGGGCATATTTTGTTTGCCCCGATGTCCAAGAAATACAATTCCAGTGTCAATGGGCATCTCATCAGAACTCATCAATTCTGTTCTGCAGATATTTTAATATTGAGTCCATCCCTTGTGCTGAGCCCCAGATTTTCTTCAAAACTTCACACTCCTTTTCATTTGCTTGTTCCAAGTCCAACTTCATGATGTTACGTACTAAAGCTTTGGATTCTTCAAGTACCTAGGCCAAAAATAAAAAGGGGCAGTTGGGTTAGTATTCCATGAGAGCTGAGCAGCATGTATCCTTACAGGTTTATACGGATGAATCCTGAAGTTGATTGTGAACTTAAGCTTATCGATCCATGGACGTACTATGACTGTAAGAAACATTTCTCATAGTCTTTCTTATAGCAACAAACAAAAATTTTCTTTATCCTGTGCCAGCACAATTTACAAATGCACAAAGACGTGCAAATAATGAAAACCATGAAATTTGGCTTTATAACTAGAGGAATCTCCAAGTGAAGGGCAATCATAACACTATTATCCAGAACTGCTCTAATAACCAGGCAGACTTTGAATCTCTTGAGCATTTAAAATACACTGAAAGATTTCATTTGCTTTTCCATGTTAATTTAAATTCCTAATTCACAGAACAGCTAACTTGTACTGCACCATTTCTTGTAAGAAAGCATCAAATAGTGGTCACTTTAGCTATCTTGTGCAACTGCTGGTAGTGCACACAACTGTGAAAGCACTATGTGTTCCTCATAAAACTGAGTTCAACATACAGTCATGACATTATTTTCTTGGTAGTTTAAACTGCAACTCAAGACAACTCAAGATTTCTGTGTTTTTGTGCAGTTCTCAGGGTAACTGTTTATACTGTTGAGTAAGTTGGACTTGAGCAACTACATTAAAACCAAAGTATATTATAAAGAATCCAATGCTGGTTTATGTTCTTTATCATATGCTGTAGTACATTGTGGTTAGAAAGAGTCAGATATAAACTTTTTAAAAGCCACAGAAACAGAAAGATGCACAACAACGTGTCAAAAAATGTTGCCCTGCTATAATGCAATCTTTGTTTCACAGTCTTTCATTAGAAAGACAAAATAACGCAGTCTAATAACACTTAAATTAATTCTTATTCCTCCAATCTTAGAAAATGCAAGAAAATAAAGGAAACTTACAACTGAATTACATGTGACAAGTTCCTTAATTCGAACCATTACTTCTTGTGTGAATGTTCCTGGCCAAAACACTTGAGAGACGAGTCCTTTGGCACAAGCTTCCTGCGCCGTCAACTTCCTTCCACTGAACAACATTTCATTGGCCTGAAGGGATAAAAAGTTACTTCTGGTATGAAATGTAATGAGACAAAACTCATCAAAGGAAAAATGTTCAAAACAAATAAGAAAAATGCCTGCACTATTTGAAATAGTTCTATTATAGCTCTTCCAAGTTTTAATTAAAGAAGACTGGCCTACAGATAGCTGGTTCGTGGTATTGACTAGTAGTTATAAAAATATGGAGGTCTATGATTAAGGGTTAAACGTGAAAACATCTTTTGTCATTTTCTGGCTCTGAATGTTCAATTAGCTTTAGCTTTCTTGCAGTATTGCTGACTTGGATATCTGCATATGTGGTAATAGCTTATAGTGCCTGGCAAATGTAAACCAGCAATGGACACATCAGCTTGCACTTTATAATAAATAATGTATTCCAATTTCTGACCACACTCAGATAAACATTCACATTTTATTCAAGAGTTCAGTGTCGAACTGATAAATCCTTCAAGATCTGATATAGCACTCATAAAAACACCAATAGTTAAAAGATCTTGCACATAATTTAAAGGTACAGAAAAAAGTACTACATTCCATGCCACAAGGTGATCTCCAGTTCCGTAAATATTGTTGATTTGTAATTATCACACACTTCACTATTTACCAATTTCCCCATTAAAGCTTCATCCTACACTCATTTGTGCTTATGCTTTAATTCTACCTTTAGTGAAGTTTCTTATATAGTTAAACTTTGTTTGCAGTGACATCTGCATGGAAACAGCCAGTGGACATTAAAAAGTCAAAATAATATTTAACCTCAAAAAAAATCACTTTTACTGTTTCTTAATGACTTATTTACATTGAAAAATATGACAAACTCATTATTGGACTCCGGAAATACAGGAAATAAGGCTGTTATAAAACACTCAAACCTGGCAAGTGTAGCATGTCTGAGGGCAAAATTCTGAGTTTTTTAATGTTTTCTAATACTGGAAGTTTTTATAATTATTTCAGCAACTTTCAATTAAGGACATCACATTATCTATTGACTGTGAGCACTGTGGTCCTAGTATTACCATTTTACACACAAAGCAATTTGAAAACTCTGCTACCTGTTAGTTGCCCCCCTGTAATGACATACAAAGTCTGGGTGCTACTGGCAGTTTCTGTCCTGACTCCTTGTCATCAGTGCATCTCATAGTTAATATGGAAAGTTGTGATTCCTGTATATTAGTTTATTTAAAAAGGAGCCTCTTACAATATAATCAATTTATATAACCCTATAGTTCTCCCTGCTGTGAATGCAAAAATCAAATCTACAAGGTTGATTAACCTTTCCTTCTAATTTTCCACAATATACGTGAAGAAAAATAACCTGAAACACTAGCTAAAAACCAGCGATGTATACAAGTTTGTCTAAAACACCAAAGAATCCTTTTTCCTAAGCAGATGTGGAAAAAACACTCTTCCAACATAAATCTAAATAATACTTAACATTTATATCAAAGATCAAAATGTGAAGTCAGTCTAACTGTTAGGAAAGGCAGAAATTTAAGTCAGCTGGTCAAGTTTCCATATTCTTCCAACATATCTTTGGTAGCAAGGATGCAATTGAATGCTAGAAACCGTTTTTTTCCCCCCTAAAACATAGTGACAACTGTTAAGTTCTCCTGAATGTGAAAAACTCTTAAGTGAGAATGGTGGAGTAATCTTATTTCTGCCAACTGTAACACAGTATTAGCATAATAGCTCACACAAATTGAGCATTCCCATTAATGTTCTCACTTGACAGGGTTTGAAGGGCAATGTCTTGCTCTGGCATCTTCACTTTTGATCTATACACAACATGTGCTGGGGACTCACTGTTAAACAAGTTTTAACCGTATAATCAATGCCTTGTACCTCCTGTAAAAATTAGGTGGTTACTTTCCAAGAAATATAATACAGCACTACAAATGAGTATGATAAAAATATTTCATTAATAGAAGATTCTCATTAGCAAACTTCATTTTCTACTCAGTCTGTCTTTCTCCTTCCACAGAGGAACTTCCCTGGGACCTCCTCTGGTCTCTCTTTTACAGTGATGGCTTTGAGGCTCACCAGGGACCTTTCATGCAAGCCTGCATGCACTAGGGCCCATGGTGCATCTCCACTCTCTTGCACTATGATCAGGAGGCAGCTGAACTCTGTAATACCTGAAATCCTGGCTGTGATGTAGACTACAGGCACTATGGAAACACGTATCCTTCGTGGCTGACAGAAAAGCATAAGAAATACTGCCAAGCATATTGGGGACTGACATAGAAACCCAGCATGTGATCCTTGATCACACAGCTCCTGTGCTGTCCTGTGTCCAGAACCAGATAACCAAGAGCAAGAACTCCACAGAAGACGCACAATAACATATCACCCTGTACAGACATTGCCTTTATCTCTACTACCGATTAATTTCAAAACTCAAAAGCCAAGGTCAAGAACCCTTCTAAAATTCTTGGTATTCCCAATACAGTATCAGTTTTGAGTCCTAAGGTTTGTGCTTCAGATTTCCTGTAATAAGACCACTGTTGAACTTGTTCTGTGAAACAACCCATCCATGACAGACCTGCTCACCAGCCCAGACTGACCCCATATGGAAGATAGTTCCAGCAATCTTGAAGATTTTTACACAGTTGCTTCTAACAACATTGCACTGACTCCGACTTACGAGAGCTAAGGGTGGACTAATATTGCCGGATTGATATATTTGTAGAAAATAGTATGATGCATCAATTCTTACTTTTGTAGGATATTTTCATTTTTTCCCCTAAATGTTTTGCATCTCACTCATAACATCTTTCTGACGACTTCTCTCTCCCTTTCACAGGTAAAAAGCATGCTGCTTTATCAAAGTCTTCAGTATGGATTCTGAACATATTTCATGAAATCTGCTTGTTAAAGTTCAGCTTTGTCCCATACAGCACTGATGTCACTATACTGCAGAGGGTCAAGGACAGTATGAAAACAGTGGATTTTTTTCTCCCCTTTGCACTGAACATTATGGATTTGTTAGCACTGGAAGCTTTCAATTTAAATCTTTATATTTAACAATGAGAGCATTCACAAACACACATGAAAGAGTATACTAGGGAAGAGCTTCTTGTGTTTTTTGTACAACTGCTAACAAAATGAAAAGTAACAACCACAAGTCTCTAAAGGACGAGGATGGATGGAATGGATGGATGAATGGATGGATGGCCAAATAAAAAGGGAAAGGAACAATCAGTAGTTTGAAACATGCTAAGATATTATAGATACTCTTATAACTGTTAATCTATTTCAGTTACCTTTTCTGTTCTAACAACTAAATCCAGAAATCATATAATTAGTCATTAGATCTGGTGTTTTCATATACTGAAACCTATATTTTTAAATCAACAAATACCTACAGGAAAAAACTTGTCTTTTATACATAAATAGTAACTTTGGAAAAAAGGGTGTAGCTACAAGCATTTGTTTCATACTGTCCAAATTGGAGTAAGACATAGGTCTATGTTTTCAAAGAACACAGCATGAAAAACTGTAAGCAGCATGAAAATAATGTAGGTAAAAGATTTTAAAACAGCTTTCTGTTACGAGTGCATGGAAACTGAAATACTTATTTTGCATACTCGCATAAGACTGCTACTGGCTGGTGACACAGCTCTCTGCTACGTAACGACACCAAGTACAGAGCCACCCAGTCTCTGCTACACTCTGATGCTGTGCTGAATGCAAGACACTGGTGGCTGCTCCTCATGAGCCATCAGCAGTAAAAGTGTGTCTTGGTATACAGGACATAGCCCTTCTGCTACCATCAGAGTTAAAGGTGCCCATGGCATGGGATTAAGTCCTGCGCTTGCTTTCTGTTCTGTGCATGCAGGCAAGGACTAGGCTGTAAGAGCAAGGAGCAGAGAAGCTATAAAGTGGTTTCTCATGAAAGGCTTTCATGAGAAAAAGAAAAAAATTCAGAAAAAGACAACACAGCAAAGGTAAAAAGTCTTGAAATCAGTGCTGGATAAATCATCACAACTGAATTGTGAAGCTGTCAGCTACCCTGCAAGCTACTTACAGAAGCCAGGCCCATTATCCGAGGGAATGTAAGGGATGAACATCCATCTGGACTTTGTCCAAAAGTAGTGTATGGTGTCTGAAACCAAGCCTTCTCGTTAGCCCAAACCACGTCACACAGAGGCAATATAGATGCTCCAAGTCCAATGGCTGGGCCATTTACTGCTACAATGATAGGCTTCTTAAACTGAATAAAAGTATTCACAAAATTCCTGAAGAGAAACAGAAACATGCACTCACTACATATATCAAGATTATAAAATATACCAGCCCTTGAAAACTCTGTAATAATTCATCTCCACAGTAACATCACTTTCAAAACCAACCTGATGACCTTCCACAATGAGGTGGTTATTTGGTGGATGAGGGGAGAAAGAACAGTGGATATTGTCTGCATAGACTTAAGAGAGAGGCTTTCAGCCCTGTCTCCCATAAGAGCTCCACAGTCAAGCTGTTGATGTATGAGCTGGATGAGCAGAGTTAGGTGGACTGAAAAATGTCTGAATGGCTGGCCCAGAGGGTGGAGATCTGTGGCATGCAGTCTAGTTGGGGGCCAGTAATTAGTGTTGCACCCCAGGGCGTCAGTGCTGGGTCCAGCACCGTTCAACAGCTTCATTCATGATCTGGATGATGGAGCAGAGCATACCCTTGGCAAACTGCTGATGAAACAAAACTGGACTGATACACTAGAGGGTTGTGCTGCCATCCAGAGGGACCTCAACAGGCTGGAGACATGGCCAGACAGGAACCTCATGGAATTCAAAAAAGGGAAGTGTGAAGTCCTGTGCCTGGGGTGAAACAACCCCAGGCACCAATATATGTAGGAAGCTGAACAGCTAAAATATCACCTTAGCAGAAAGTGATCTAGGGTTCCTGGTGCACACCAAGCTGAACTTGAGCTACCACTGTGCTATTGTGGCAAAGAAGGCCAACGGTATATCCTGCACTGCTTTAGGAGGAATGTTGCCAGCAGGTTGCAGGAGGTGATCCTACCCCTCTGCTCAGCCCTGGTGTCCAGTTATAGGCTCCCCCATGAAAGAGAGACTCAGGATGGTCTAGTAAAGGGCCATCAAGATGACCAAGGGAATGAGAGAGCTGGGACTGTTCAGCCTAGCGAAGAGAAGGCTCAGGGATTTGTCATCCATGTGTATAAACAACTGTGCCTCCTGCCTCACTAGGCACCACTGCAGAGAGCCTGGCTCTGTCCTCTTTGCATCCCCCTGCAAACTGAAACACAGGAGGCTCCCTCTGAACAGCAGGAAACGTTTTTTACTGTGAGGGTGACCAAACAGGCAGCCAACAAGGCCATGGACTCTGAGTCTTTGAAGATAGCAAAAAACCCAGCCTGGACATGGCCCCAGGTAACCTGTTCTAGGTGACATTCTTTGAGCAGGGGCAGGTTGAACAAGGTGACCTGCAAATGTCCCTTCTAACCTCAACCATTTTCTGATTCTATAAAAGCCTGGCTTTTCTCCAAGCCCAACAAAGCACAGTAATTGGACAGGTGCAGATTTAACACCCCTCCTACAAGCATCAGCTGATATGGCACTTGTGGGATACTCATATACCTCACAGCTCACTCAGATAAGGCTGCACAAGTACCTCACCTCTGGGCACCAAAACTGTAGCTACAGCCCTACTTGGTCTTCACTGTATTTCCATCTGGCATTGGAGTAAGGTATCTGTCTGTATTTTTAAGTGACGGTAATAAGGTATAAATGAACATGTCCAAAGCATTAATGATTTTCCTTAAGAAGCAGTCCTGGACTGGCAGGAGACAGCTTTTCTTAATAAATAAATCTACAAACCATATAGTAGAGCTCCATTTACACATATCACACACCTGTAAACTTCCTCCCTTCTCTTGATTCATCATCATGCTCTGGGTACTAGGCTACTAAGTTACAAATGCATATTCTCATCCTCATTATCAGCAAAAAATGGCAAATCATTCCAGTACCCACAAAGCATGAATGCTTCTCTGTTCTCGAACAGTAATGCCTTCAAGAGCTTCTTAGGAAAAAGTAAGCATCTATGTATGTATACATGCACAGGTAATTTTCAATTCTGCTCCTTACCTTATCTGTGTTACATATTTTTGTAGTTCTGCAAAACAGGACAATTTTCCTATATTTCAGCCATCACTAAAGGTTATGATACTGCTTCTTAACTCATTCTAGTGAACTGAAATAGCTACATGCAAAATAATTTCTGGAACCATCTTACACAAATCATCATACAAACATCCCATCCAGAGACTTAACGTAATTTTAACCATGTCTGAGCATTCTGGAGAGGACCATCTCTACCATACATATGAAAAATACCATTATTATAATTGAAGGGGGGGGGTGTGTTTGTAGGTCTTTAAGTTACCTTTGCCCATTTTTACAAGTCACACAGCCTTTTTTAGAAGCATGAAAATCAGTAACAACAATAGAAAATTGGTCTCTGAAAGAATACAAATACTCCAGAAGTGTACAAGAGACCAGGACCTCAAAACCAGTGTTCAAATGATAAGCTACTTGTTTGCACTTCTAAAACATATCTCCAAGGTCTATACTTTTTTCCATACATTTTCTTCTAGTTAGTAGTAGTTCAGCTCATTTTGTTTAAACATTAGGTTTGGTACCTAGCATTAGGATGATGTTCAGTAGTATTGATCTACTTCTCTGAAATATCCATCATTACACTGCTCTGAGTGTCCTGTATGAAGTTACACATTCAATGCACATCTTGTATTTCTATGTATTAAACTTGTTTTCCTGAAACTCTATGGCTATTTAAGTATTTTAAAATTGGTTTTAACTGGAGGAGTATTACCATACTACCAGTTATCATAGTTACATTTTAGTAGCAAAACCAGTGATGCATGAAATGACAACCCAAATAGAAAGGGACAGGGAGTGTAAAAGAAGTGTTGCATACTATATCACGTAACAGGTGAATGTCTGTGATCTTGTTGAATTAGAGGCTTTTGAATAAAAAAAGGTAAAACAAGCCAGGCTACACAATGAAGAATACCCATCAGATGACTGAAGATAACCTCACATACCTAATAGCTTCTGCCATCTTAGTGCTTTCCTTTTTTCTATCATCTGTTAAACGTCGTATAAAATAAATAAAATCAAGACCACAGCAGAAGATGCTACCAACTGCACTGAACAGCACAAGTTTACTGTCATCTGCAGCTGCTGTGTTCAGTGCACTTTGGACTTCCTTCATTACCTGAAAAATAAAAATTTCATTAGCATCATTTTATTCCATCATTCAAAAGTAGCATATTGCTCTCCTCCCCTTCTCCCCTCAGAAGATCCTCAACATCTTTAACTTTTCCTTAGGATCCACTCAACCATCATATAAGAAAATTTTCTTCATTATCAAAAAAAAAAGAAGTCAGAATATTAGAAGCTTTGCATTTCAAAAATGTAATTAGATGAAGATAATTAAATCATTAAGAAAAGATCTATTAGATGTTATCTGTAACTAAAGCACTCATTCAGCATTTCTGTAATTTGGACAGCAGATGGCATATGCAACCAGTACAGAAAAAAAAGGACCTTAATTCAGGTTAAAGCTTTTTTCAAGTTGCACTTTGTAAATCACCGCATGCCTTATAAAGACAGCACATGTTCAGAGAACATAGTTTCTAAACTCAAGTGACTTGCACATGAAGCCAGTTGTATTTGTAACATCTTACAAGCAAGAATCTTGTTTTGCAACTGAATGTTGTTTTACACACATTTGTGCCCGAAGAACAGACATAAATGAGGCAAGGACTTCAAATTCCCCCAGCACCCTTCCCCCCTGAAATAAGAATTGTTCTGACCTCTGGATTTAATGAATTATTTTCAGATGATTTTGTTGATAGCAAAATGTGTGTGAATCCATCCTGTTTCCTGACAACGATGTCTCTGTACCGGTACGCGCTCTCCGTTTGTCTCACGCTGAAGCGTAGCCTTTTATCAAAAGGTTGATCTCTCCTGTCATCGATAAACCTTCGTTTGCTGGCTGTCACTCCTGTTACAGATGTCTGTATATTGGTTGTACCATTGGCTGCTAATGCTTCCATAAAGGTAGATGTACCTGGAAATAGTTTAAACAATAGCAATTACATTTTATTAGCTCACCAGTCTCAAAATCCCTATGAGCGTGAAAACAGGTTAGTCATATTAAGAACATACAGCAAATACGAAACAGTCCCCTGGAAGTTACTGAAACAGACACTGCGCAGAGCAAAATTAAAGTGACAATGGGTTTCAAGAAATTAATTTTACAGTTGTGAGAAAATACATTTGAAATAAGCCAAACAGGCCAAACACAATATACTTATTTTTAGAGGAAGGGAGAGGTTTATTTAATGCACCTAATACTAATGCACTTCAGTAGGTTAATGCTCTGCTTTCTCCTTTTCCAGCATCTTTAAAGTCATCTAACAGCATCAATACTGCAAAGAGAAAGCAGAAGCCTTTTGTTTCAAGTGTCAGGAGAAGTTAATACACAGAAGAAAAAAGACACAATAAACCAAATAAAGAACTTGATTGACAAGATCATACAAAGCAAAATAGTCTTTAAAGAAAAATGGAAATGAAGAAATACAGACTATACTTCATTGAGAGAGAAACAAGATCCATGCAGTGATGGATATTTAATGGATTCACAGACAGTGAGATCTTTCTCATGTTAAGCAATTTTTGCTATTAGAATTGGCAAACAGAGCATTAAGTCTTTCCGGTCTTGTTCCCCATCACTTAAAGAGACAGAATTTGAAAGCATGAAAGTAAACAGGTCATTCCTTATGTCACAGAAAGGACAGGTTTTTCTGTAGTCCACATTAGAAACATGATACCAAATAATTTTAATTCATAAGACAAAATAAGAGAACATATTGAATCTATAATGCATCTGTATGTTTAAGTCTCCAAGTTAAATCTCCATAGAGGTTGTCACATTGAAGTAGTGGAACAGGAGGGTTAAATATGTTGGGAAGATGTGTTATAGGCCCAGGCAGAAAGCTTTTGAAAGACTTTTCCTGAAAACTGAGGTCTGAGACTAAAATCTACAGGAAATCCAGCGCCCTTATCTTACTAACAGGTACTTCAGAACATCATGCATATGGTGTCTTAAAGAGTAGAGTTATATCATGGATAAGTAAGTTGTTAATGAAATGTCATTGATGGATCTTGCTTAATTAATGCTTAACTTTAGACACTGGAATAGGCTGCCCAGGGAGGTGGTAGAGTCACCATCACTGGAGATGTTAAGGAAAGACTGGATGTGGCACTTAGTGCCATGGTCCTGTTGACACGGTGGTGTTAGGTCATAGGCTGGGCTCCATGAACTCAGGTCTTTTCCAACCTAACTAATTCTGTGAAGTTATATTTTTAAAGTTCTAATGATAGGCAATGCTATGATTTTAATTTTTTAAAAAACTACAGCATCAAAGAAGACATTGAACAGGCTCATCTAAGTAACTGGAATATCATATATCTTTATATTTTAACTGTATTGAAATGTTGCTTCTTTTGACCCATATGAAGTACAAGACAATAAGAAAAATTAAAATTTAGTACATTTTCCTATATGCATTTCAGAAATTGCCTTCAGATATAAATGAAGCTTTTCTAACAAATATTTTAAATAAACAAATATATTATAGATCTGTTATGATTAATTAGGCAAGTTGTCTGTTAAAGGAGCTATACAAAACTAAGGTTTTATTTTACTTTTAAAATTCTTTCTTGTTGTATTAGTGAGTTAATCCTCTTACCATATCACGTTTTGTGAAGAAGTTAAAGACAACTCAAGATTTTTTAGTTCTTTAAAGTGCAGAGGAAGAAACTGGATTCAGTTTCAGAGACAGAGGTGAACAACATTAAATGGAAAATTAATGTTTTGTATTGTCAAATAAGTTTCACATTTATTCTTGATTTTTCACAGCTTTTTTCATTACAGCAGAAAAAGTAAAAATTTGATGCACAGCAAATATGAGGTCGATGAGAGATGCTCTCAATACTTTTCCCTTGCCAGCCACACTATGGCGATTACATTCCTTTAAAAGAATTCCCTTCAAAGAGAATTTGCAGGAACACCACTGCTGCCCCATATTTCATTAGGAATGTAAGATGAAATGGTACCACTGGCTGCAATGGCTTGCTTTTCCATAGGAAATGTAAATTCAAACAACTGAAATCACCTCTGATTTTTAAACTCTGAAACAAATTCTTTATGGCTTCTGTCCTAGCCATAGCAAAAAACACGGAGAATTGAGAGAGCACAATAGACTAGACTAAGCCAAAACAAAGAGACAGTAAACTTGTGTGAGAGCTTTGGGCCTATATTTTCCCATGACTCATACTTCCAAAGACATACTCAAATACCAGAAAATTACTTTTGAGATGCAAGAGGCAATGATTATATACTTTCAGAGACAAAACTTCTGGCAAGAGAGACCAAGACGTAAACACCACAGGCTACTTTTCATGCTTATTGAACTGGCAAGAGACCTTTCTGGGTTTTATATAAACTCTGCCTACACTTGTCAATAGTTGCAGTTTCAAACCACAAGTGAGGGACAGCTGCAGTTCAGTGGAAGAAGTCTCCTATATCCAATCATGTAAACACACTTGTAGGATACTTAGACTGGAATCAAAAAACTGTCAGCTTTAGAAACCATACCTCTGTGCAGGGAGACTCAGCCAGCTGGTATGGATCAGAAAATGGCACCGACACAGTTCAAATATATTCGTGTTTGTCATTACTGCTGTAAGTTTGGGACCTTGTATACCTGACAGTACAGGGGGCTCTTTTCTCTTGGCATTTGATCCTCGAAACGAAGAGACAACTCAGAGACATAAAGCAGTACTTCAAGCCACTTACACATAGGCAAAGGCTGTTTCTCTGCACAGGCTTGGACACATGTAGTAGCAAGAAATGGGCACAAAAGTGAAAAAAGTGCCACTGATATATGCCAATTGTATTGTCATAGACTTCCTCACATGAAAACTTTGCATTGAGGTTACTTATCTTCAGGCTAATTACAACTATATTTAAATATTTTAAAATATGTCTTCATAACAAACCAAAGGCAGTTCAGCATTTTAATACATTAAGGGATATAGCATATCAAAAGACAAACAACACACCCCAGCCTTCTCCTTTCAAACTGAGCTTTCAAAAATAAGGGCTTGGAAAAAAGACAGTTTACTCTGGATATCATCAACTAATGCAGAACTATGTTTATTTAAGAGGTAAACAAACAGCTTATAGTTATAAAAAACCCTTCCATCCGCAGACTGTTAATTAATGTAATGTGATCTTCTCAAAGGTGAAGACATACTACTACTGTACAAAGCCAAAGCTACACCATACAGACGCAAAATGAAATTAAGAGGACTACTTTGTTTTGTAGCTGCTGATCAAAACCTGGTTAACAGTCACCAATTTCATGCAGCTGCCCTTGGAGGAGAAAAAACAAGAAAGCTATAGAATCATAGAATTTAAGGGTTGGAATGGACCTTACAGATCATCTAGTCCCACTCCGCCCTGCCACGGGCAGGGACACCTCCTCACTAGATCAGGTTGCTCAAGGCCTCATCCAGCCTGGCCTTGAACACTGCCAGAGTCAGGGCAGCCACCATGTCCCTGGGCAACCTGTTCCAATGTCTCACCATCCTTAGAAATTTTTTTTTCTAATATCCAACCTAAACTTTCCCTCCTTCAGTATGAATCCATTACCCCTTGTCCCATCATTGCAGTTCCTAACAAAGAGCTCCTCTCTGGCTCCCTATGAGCAAAGATGAGATAGGAACCGGTCTTATCGAAAGGAAGACAGGCACAAAACACCAGTGTTGGAAAGGGGGAAGACCAAAGGTACTGTCATTCCCATTCCACTGGCAGAAGCCAGGAAAAACTCATCTCTCCAAAATGTGAGTGGGATAACAATGAAAATGCACCGTTAAAATTAAAACAAATTAAAATGCCAGACACCTAGATAAACAGAGCTAAAACCAAACCAAGTAACACAATTTCCTAACAATCCAAGAGTTAAAATCCCAAGATCCTCTCCAAGACATTCATGCCTCACCGTTACTGTCTCCCAAATTCTTGAGAAGTTCAGTTTAGCTTACACAGCAAACCTTGAATACAAACACTCTGCTCCCTGCAACAGTACTGGGGACACATCCAAACAGATGCTCTAAAACCAGCCAGGCTTCTTTTGCACATGTTTGTTTGGGTACACAGGTGCTAGTGCTGGTACTCTTAAATCAAAGGGTTTGACTGACAGAGTATGTCCTTTCTGAAAGGCTTAGCACAGAGGCCTAATGAACTAGCATAAGAAGATGGGAAGTGTGAACCACGCTATCGAGTATCTTCCTCAACTCCAGCCAACAGAAACTTAGCAATTACTAAAACTTGCATGCCCAGAACCACAGGCTGCACCAAACTCCATGTAATTAAATCCTTGTCCCCCACAGGATTGTCCAATTTACTTTTGAAACCACTACAAGTTTGTTTTCCGAAGTATCTTTTGGCAGCAAGTTTTGCAACATACATCTTGTCTTTCTCCATTCCTTTCATCACAGCCCTTCTTCAGGTTGATTAATCCCAATCTTATTTACACTTTCTTTTTTTAGAAGCCAGGCCAAGCCTGTCATTCTTTTCCATCTCTCTTCCTCTTCTACTAAATCGTGGAACAGGTTCCCAAATGGCACACAATATTCAATAAAGGGGATTTTTTAATATATTTTTTTCGAACTAGCACTGAGCAGACATTTGCAGAAAACTACCTAAACCAAACTCAATGCCTTTTTCCTGAACAGCAGCATGTAGTCAGGGAAGAGTCAGTGTTCTCTGTTTTGCTATAGGCACAGTTTTGTATATAAGTCTGCTTTGTCCCCTCCTCATTGCTTCATCTGCGCTGAAAGTCACCTCTCATTTTAATCACAAAATCACTCAGCATTTTCAGAGAAGCCTCCAGTGTTCTCAAGAAGCTGCAGGGACTCTCATGCCTTTCCTGTACCCTCATGCACCAACCACGTCCTCTCCCACTTTAAGTGATGAAGGGGCTAATAAGCAGCAT